GCCACAGGGTAGGGGCTGCTTCTGGAGCTCTCTGCCCACAGACTGAGGAGGAATCGAGTGGATGATCTGAGGGGGACTGCAGGGATATCTTTGCTGGTGCTGAGGCAGGATTCTCTTGCTTTGCATGTGCTTGGAGGTGGGTTACAGTTCTGGGTGGTGGTCCTGGGGTGAGGAGGAGCTCTGGCATGGTGGAACTTGTAGTGGCGGTGAAGAATGAATTCTCCTCGCAGAGGAGGATTTTTTTCAAGGCAGAAAAGAGCGCTTGTGGTCACTCATAGACCAGAGCACAGGCCAGGAAAGGAATAAAAACACCTCACCCTTGATCATACCAACTTGGAAGAATAGAAAATTTACAGGCCCTTAGAAGTATCTCTGAAAACAGCTACATAAAACCCCCGAAATTTAGGACAATACATTCTCCACACTGGAAGCAGACCCCTACCTTAACAAAGAGTTTATAACTCAAGTAATTGGCTGGGATCATGAGCAAACTGCGCAAAAAAAAAAAAGTCAGACCATAGAATCTTTCTTTGGTAACAAAGAAGATCAAAACATACAACCAGAAGAAGACAACAAAGTCAAAGCTCCTACATCCAAAGCCTCCAAGAAAAATATGAATCGGTCCCAGACCAGGAAGAACTCAAAAAAGGATTTTGAGAAGTAAGAGAAGTAGAGGAAAAACTGGATAGAGAAATGAGAGTGATACAAGAAAATCATGAAAAACAAGTCAAAAGAGAAGAAAAAAAATACTGAAGAAAATAACACCTTAAAAAGTAGCCTAACCCAAATGGAAAAGGAAGTCCAAATGCTCACTGAGGAAAGTACTTCCTCAAAAATTAGAATGGAGCAAATGGAAGCTAGTGACTTTCTAAGAAAGCAAGACAAGGCAAAACAAAACCAAAAGAATGAAAAAATAGAAAACAATGTGAAATATCTCACTGCAAAAACAACCGACCTGGAAAAGAGAACCAGGAGAGAGAATTTAAAAAATTATTGGACTACCTGAAAGCCATGATGAAAAAAAGAGCTTAGACATCATCTTTCAAGAAATTATCAAGAAAAACTGACCTGATATTTTAGAACCAGAGGGCAAAATAGAAATTGAAAGAAACCACTGATCACCTCCTGAAAGAGATCCCCAAAGGAAAACTCCTAGGAATATTGTAGCCAAATTCCAGAGTTCTCAAGTCAAGGAGAAAATATTGCAAGCAGCCAGAAAGAAACAATTCAAGTATTGTGGAAACACAATCAGGATAACACAAGATTTGGCAGCTTCTACATTAAGGGACTGGAGGGCTTGGAATATAATCACCTACCCAGCAAAACTGAGTATAATCCTTCAGGGAAAAAAAAATGGATATCCAGTGAAATAGAGGACTTTCAAGCACTCTTGATGAAAAGACCAGAGCTGAATAGAATATTTGACTTTCAAATACAAGACTCAAACAGGAAGAGGTAAACAGTAAAGAAAAATCATAAGAGACTTATTAAGGTTGAACTGTTTACATTCCTGCATGGAAAGATATTTGTAACTCATGAGACCTTTGTCAGTATTAGGGTAGTTGGAGGGGAAAAATTATGTGTATACACACACACAGACACGCACACACATACATATAGATAGGATCGATCAATAGAGGGCACAGAGTGAATTGATGATGAAGGGGTGATATCTGGAGCATAAAATTAAGGGGTGAAAGAGGATTATACTGGGAGAATGAGAAAGGGAGAGGTAGCATGGAATAAATTATCTCACATGAAACAGACAAGAAAAGGCTTTTACAGTGGAGGGGAAATGGAGGGAATGAGTGAATCTTACTCTCATCAGGTTTGGCTTAAGGAGTGAATAACACAGACTCAACTGGGTAAATGGGGGTAAGGGGGATAAGACAGCATGGAGATGGCAGAGGGGACAGCGATTGGAGGAGGGGGTAATCAGAAGCAAACATTTCTAAGGAGGGACAGGGTCAAAAGAGAGAACAGAATAAAAGAGGGGTGGGATAGGATTAGGGAAATATAGTTAGTTTTCCACAGCATGACTACTATGGAAGCATTTTGCATGACACATGTATAACCTGTATCAAGTTGCATGCCTTCTCAATGAGGGTGGGTGGGGAGGGAGGGAGAAAATTTGGAACCCAAAGTTTTAAAAAGAAATGTTAAAAATTGTTTTCACATGCAACTGGGATAAGATAGATATACAGGCAATGTGGTATAGAAATCTATCCTGCCCTACAGGAAAATAGAAGGGGAAATGGATAAGAGAAGGGAGAGAGATAGAAGGGAGGGCAGATTAGGGGAAGGGGTTTTTAGAATGCATGCCATCTTGGGATGGGGGGAGTGATGAGATGGGGAGAAAATTTGGAACTCAAAATCTTGTGAAAGTGATTGTTGAAAACTAAAAATAAATAATTTTTTAAACAAAATTAGAAGAGAAATATACCTCTCTCAGCCACGGGTAGAAGATATATTTTTAACCAAACAAGAGATAGAGGCAATTACAAAAGGTAAAATAGATAACTGATTACTAGTAACCAAAAGCTTCTGCACAAATAATATCAATTCATCTTGGATAAGAAGGGAAGTGGTCAAATAGGAAAAAAAATACTTATGTGTGTGTATGTATGTGTATATATGTGCACACATATGTGTATACATATATATTTCTGAATATGTAAATGTTCAAAGGATATGAACAAACAGTTCTCAAAAGAACTGCAAAGTATATTCACAACCACATAAAAAAATGCTCCAAATCACCAATAATAAAACAAATAAAAATCAAAACGAACCTGAAGTTTCAATTCACACCCTGCAAATTGGGGGGAAAAAACCAACAAAATGGAGGGTTTGTAGAAGGATGGGTATAGAAATACATTGTTGCTGGAATTGTAAAATGGAACCACCATTTTGGAAAGCACTTTAGAATTATGCAAATAAAGTCAGTAAAATGTCTACACCTTTTGAACTGGAGACTCCATTATTGGATTCATATCCAAAAAGAAGCCATCAACAAGAAGAAAGTCTCAATGTCCTCTAAAATATTTATAGCAGCACTTTTTGTGCTAGTTAAGAATTGGAAAAAAAATAGATATCCACCAATTGGGGAATAGCTAAACAAATTATGGTACATGAATATAATGGAATATTACTGTGTTGTAGGAAATGATATGTGTAATAAATAAGAAAAGCATGGAAAGATCTATATGAAATGATACAAAGTGAAGCTGAAGCAAGAAAACAGTATACTAGGTAGCTACAAAATGTAAATGAAAAGAGTAACTAGACAGTATGAAATCAAAAGTAAACATCAAAAAATTATAAACTCAAACAGGATTTGAATAAAGAGATATGAGAAGATACCTCCAACTTAACCATTTATGGAGGAAGGAGGTCCACAGGTATTCTATTGTGCATGTTTTTGAACTTTTTCAATGTACTGGTCAGTTGTGCTATTTTTTTTTTTCTCAAAAAAAAATCCTACTTTTATATGGTAGAGCTCTTGGGGAGAAGGAGAGAAAGGAGTACTTGAGATAACCATGCTGATGTAAGAAACAGAAAATATCAATAAAAATATTTAACAAAAATGTTTACATTGGTTAAACTTCTGAGAGGCAGTTTGGCAAAGCAGCTTTAAGGCTGACCCTGGAGTTAGGAAAATGAATTCAAGTTATACTCTGAAATCCTAGATAACTTCTCAGCATCTCAAGCAACTTTCTTATATTTATAAGTGTAGAAGACTTGCTGATCTGCATTGGTAGAAGAGATTTGCTATATATATCACTGAAATCATGGGTCACACTAAACTCTAATCTCCCCCCTTCCTCCCCTAAAGAAACACAACAAACTTATGAAGCAATATATTCTGTGTCTATATCCTTTCTTTCATGTGTATTGCTTTTCATCATAAAAATTTGAATAAGACAGATTGAGTTTTTTCAAATGCATACTATATATTTGGTTTTCATCCTTCTAGTTTTCTATTAATTTTGACCTTTCCTGTAACATTGATGGTTTAACTATACACAGACAATTCAGAAATGACTTCCACATCAGTAATAAACTGCTTCCTGGCTATTAAAAGATAATTACTTTAATTTTTTGTTATGTTGTTAGTGGCTCACCATATCTACTGACTTCTATTTCTTTTTTTAAAGCATGAGTGATATATGGACATGAGGTTTCTGTATATTGTACAGTCTTTTGGCTTCTCATTCCTTACATCTATGTTATATTTTTTTCATTATATTTCTTACCATCTACACATACTATAACAATTGTATTGAAATCACCAGGTATCAAAATATTTTTATTTAATTTGGAAGATCTTATCAAGTTCTCAGAAGAATTTCTTTACCTCATTCTCTGTAGATATTGATGTGTAAGCTGCAATAATTTTCACTAATACTTCTCATGAGTACTATAATATGAGATGTCCAAATGTGCCATGAAATATTTCCTGTTGCCTCTGGAAATGACAAAACTAATTCTGTCAGTTTCTTTGCCTCTCCATAATGATACTGCGAGCCATTCTTTCATTTTGCTATAACCTTTTTTTTCTTTTGGATTAATTCATATCACGAATGCCAAGATAAATACAAGTCAGTTCTTTCAGTTATATGTCCTTTATAAGTAGTTAATTCAAATAAAATGTTGAACTAGATGTAGCTACACAACATAGCAGGATGTCTGCTTGTGAAATGATCACAATGGTGCTGATGTCTGGGGTAAAATGGGTATTTATGGCCAAGTTGTTGGCTATTATATATTACATATCTGTTGTTATTGTTTATTACTGTTACAAATAACAATAGTTTCCAAAGTACTTTCACATACATAATCCTATGTGTTCACTGAAATAATTCTAGTAGGTAGATAGAGAGGGCAATTATTACCTTTATTTTTCAGATGAATGAATAGATGAAAAAGCATTTATTAAGTGCTTATTACTAGCACTGTACTAAGATGAGGAATACAAACAGAAAAGCAGAGACAGTTCCTACTCTCAAGGAGCTCACATTTTATTGGAGAAGACATCATATATAGGTGGTTTCAGTTGCGAGTCAGATGGAAATGGCCCATGGTTTTTAGGGTACAGCAAAGCAGATGGTAATGCATCTTCTTTAATGTCATTTCCACTGATTAATAAGCCACATCCAGTTCTGATGCTGAACCATTTGACAGTGTCAAGGACTTTGGTGACAAGAACATTCTTTTATGGATCTTCAGTAGATGTGGCTGTCAAGGAGGCAGCGCCTTACAGCAGCTGTTTGTTGATGGCAGTTTGTCAGTAGCGTGATGTGGTGGTTTAGCTTGCCTGAATGTGCTTCTGACTCTCTGGACTTGGTACCATGACTCAGCTGCCTTCTCATCTCGAAACATCCCTCTTCCATCCCAGTTCCCTTCTCATATTTTAGGAGTCTCTATTTTGGGGCTAGGCTTGGCAATGCTTCCTTCCCCTCCTCGGCTATGTTTTTGATTTTTCACCCAATTTTTCAGTTTCTTTTGATGTGTTTTTTTCTCTTATTAGAAAATAAGCTCCTAGAGCACAGACACTTTTTTTTTTGCTTCTATTTATATATTAAGCACTTAGCACAGTTCTGGCACATAACAAGTGTTATCTGTCTGCCTGTCTGCCTGCCCGATGTGTTTCCCATCTCTTTCAGAGTGCCCGTTTGCTTCAGCTATACAGGTCTTGTCTGCCCTGCAGGTAGAGGGAGGTCTGATGTTGATAAATATGGCTGGCCCTTCTCCACAGGTGTTGCTTCACTGGATGATGTCTGTGCTGTAGGAGGTTCAGAAAAGTTAAGTGACTTTTCAAGGTCGCAGGTCACAAAGTTCTTGGGGGGAGGGAAGAGAAGAAGGATCTAAGACTCAGTTCTAGGATTTCTGACTTGCAGGCCAATATTCTTTCTAATTCATCACCCAGCTTACCAGGATGAAACAACTTATCAATCCACAAACATTTATTAAGTACTTACATGTGCCAAGAAGCAGCAACTCTAATGCTAACTGCCACAAATGCTATAAATCCCAATAGGTCTGTAAGGACAGAGGCTATGAGTACGTCTCTGTATGGCATCTTTGATTTAATTTTTTAAAATTGTCAAATATATAGATAAGATAGCTAGCTAGATAGATAACAATCATTGTCAAATGTGAATTTAGAAAAATGGCTCACCAGTGACTTGCTAGTAAGGAGAAAAAATGTGTCACAGTTCAAAATTAGATTTTACAGTAAAACATAGGAATTGTTTTCCCACTGTTTCTTGGCCTGACAGCACGTGATGTTTGTGAAATGTACATATTACTGCCAACATTTGATGGATGGCATATAGATAAATAAGATATTTCATACTTAGTGTAGAAATATCATGTGGCTTCAGGAGGGAGATTATTCAGAAGTCTGCTGGTTATTCTGATCTGATTATTCATATATAGAGGAAAAGGAGGGAATCATATCTTCTTTCTTCATTGAGGGAGACACAATAAAGTAACATGAATAAATAAAATGAACTATTTGTGTGTCTCCATTTCATTTTCATTTCATTTCCTTTTTCTCTCTCCTGTTAGTATCCTCATCGTCTCCTCTTTCTGAAAGGAGTATACAAAATAAATGTTATTGTGAGAATAAAAGCAGAATTTATGATTTCAAAACAAGTTTTTAGAAATACCAATAGGGAAAACAGGCATCAGAAGGGTGAAAACTAAGAAGAAAAGAAAGACAGCATATCTGGATTTAGAATTCAAACTCCCAATCCAAAACTTAGACCAATGTCAGGTTTTGTGAATGGTTTAGGCATGTTCTTTCTGTTACATCGAGTAGGCAATCTAATTTCTCTTATGACATTTTATGCCAATCCATTTTCAGAGTTATAAGGCCAAAGTGATTGATTTAAAGGATTCAGAATGCTTATTTTGTTTAGATACAAAATATAACCTAAGATCTATGAAAACTGAAGTGATATAGCAATATCAATTCTGGTGTCTCACTGTATAACTTGCAGTGTTACCAAACTGCAAATGAAAATGTATGAACTTTCAGAAATATAGTAACCAGGAAGTACTTCGATAAAAACAGAATCCTAGAACAATTACAAAGTAGTAAATGGAATAAGAAATGCAAAGGTTTTAAATATCAACATAACTGAAATTTAAACGATTAAGTCATTTTAGAACATGAGCTCAATTGATCACTATTCCTTTGGATAACAGTCACAAATCCTAAAAATCCCAAGGCAAGTCCTAGAAATACCAGAAATGAGTCAGAACTATAACAAAATTATCCCAATTACATATCAAGATGTATGACAGCATCATTTTAGAAAAAGGAAAATTTATTACAATTCGAAGAGTTCACTATAGAAAATGGACATTTAGGAAATATGAAAATTGATTAGAAGTTATGATCAGTTGTGAAGTCCAGAAATTCTTGAAGGTAGAAGTATTAAGCTTCTAGCATTTTCTCAATATCATTTTTTCATGATTAGAGTTATAAATAACACTTTGGATTTTTAGAGGGGAAAAAGGCAAGTAAACAAATATACAGTTTCATGAAATGAATGAACTCTTCTGAGATGGCTTTATTCTCCACTGAAGTTCATTAGGGGACTATGTTTTTGTAGTCTATTTCCTTTACTTACTGTGAAGATGTCACTGTTTGGCTTTCCCATCCCCCCAAATAGGAAACTGCTTATGTACAATGACACAAGCCTAAGCATATGCTTCAGGCTTTCCCATTCCAATATACAGCTACTCTGACAGCTTTCCCAACTCTAAAAGGATGTGAATGAACGATGGCATATTTTTAAATATTTTCCAGATCCATCATGGAGGCTGCTTTTCTTCTCTGTACTGTAATCACACTGAGCTGCAATTAAAACAAACAATCAGTAAGCTGTTCTTTTTTTCCAATGAAAGTTTTAGTTTAGCAGAATAACAGAAAAGAAAATGGACCAAAGACTTAAGAGTCAATATCTATTAAGGTCTTTTGTTAGAAGTCTTATATTCCATGGCTTTAGAATGTGAAATGTTTTATAAATTAGAGAAACACTTCTCAAAAGTAAGAAGTCATTCAATAATGAAGGGTGATACACCATGAACCTCAAAAACATAGATTACAACAAATGACCTAAACTACCTAGACTACAAACTAAATATGAGTAAAAAATGTGGGGCTATTATTGAAAGGGCTAATATGATCCTTTGCTATGTCAATAAGACTCCAGGATGTTAAACAATCCTTTAAACCTTCCAATCTATCAACTGCAAGTTCTTTATTCAGGATATTATGTCTAAGTTTTTTTTTTTTAAGAGGAATATAGAATATCTGGAATTGAGTGTTCAGGAAAAAAAATACACATGTATATATGTCTGGGAAAAGGAATATAAAAATGAAAGGACCTAGATTTTTTAATGCAGAAAAAGACTTAATTTAGTTGTTTCCAAGGAAGCACTATTATTATAAAGAAGATATAGATAAACTACTTTTTATCCTTACCAGTAGTACTAATAAGCTTAAGCTGTTAAGTTTCAAGAAAACCAAACCTTACTCTCATAGACTAGGATTTTGATAGAACAATATAAAGACTTCTACAAGGAAAATGTTGGAATTTTTAGTTCTGGACATTTGAAGAGAAATAACAGTATTGCCATGGGGCAGGAAATAAAATTAATATGACCATTTTATTCTATAAGTTAGTAGAGAGGCAGAGTAGTATAGTGGAAAGAACGTGACTTTGAATCAAGAGACCTGAATTTGAATTCAAATTCTAACATTTGTGACTATGTGCAACTTACTTAATTTTTATGAAACATAGTTTTCTCATTTGTAATTCTTACACTACCATACTCTTAAGAGAGTTAATCTAAGGAAAAATACATAAATATGATTTATTACAATGATTTTTCTAGTATATCCTTTTCCCATAGAATTGAAGATAACAGTGCTAAATAGGTTATCTTTTTTCAACACAGTCCTTAGACTCACAGAATCTCAGAACTGGAAACAGCCATCTGGTCCACACCATCTCAGAATAAATATGCATTAGACATAGCAGACAAGTGGTCATCCAATCTTTGCTGGAGGACCTCCAGTAATGGGGAAGCTATTTAAGAAGTTAGGATAGTAATTCAGGTACCAACCTTTATTGTAAGCCACTCCATAATGAAAGTAAACGATTCTTTAAACTGTAGGAACTTTTATAATGTGACAAGAATGACAAGGAACAAAGTTTTATTTACTTCTACTCCAAGGAAAAGCATTATGTAAGAAATGGCCCAAGAAAAGGAATCCACAGAAAATACTGACGACTTCTTAGGTATGGATTTATATCTTCCAAGAACCAGTACAAATTACAAAATATGTAACTTAGTTTTTGAAACTTATTTATTTACTTTTGACTATTATACTCCATCATACCCTGATAATTACTGAGCTTATGACAACGAACTACCCAACACTGATCCTGTTAATTCATTAATAAGCATTTAAGATCTAAGTGCCAAGAATGATACAAAAAAAGAAAAAAATGTCTGACAGTGAAGAGTTTGCATTCTAATGCCAGGGACAATGTAAAAAATTAATTGCATGGAAGATAAATACAGAATAGATGGAGGTAAATCTGAGAAGAGAAGGTATTAACAATTGAGGGAAAAGGGAAAGATCTTTTTCAGAAGGTGAATTTGAGCTGAGTCTCAAGGGGAGTCAGGGAAAGTAACAGAAATAGGAGAAGGGGCCAAAAATTCCAGTCATGGAGAACAACTGACACAAAGCAAAGAGATGGGATATGGAGTCATAACACACACAAATAGGCCAGTGTGGCTGGATCACAGATTGTGTGATGGGGAGTAAAACATAAGATGATAAAGGAAAAAACCAAGTTATAAAAATCTTTAAATGTCAAACAGGAGACCATAGTTGATATTAGAGGTGATAGGAAGCCACTGGAATTCACTGAGCAGAGGGGTGACTTGGACAGAAGTACATTTTAGAAAAATAATCTTGATAGCTAAGTGGAATATAGATAGATTGCAGTGAGGAGACACTTGAGGCTAGGACGCCTATTGTGATTATCCAGGGGAGAAATGAAGAGGACCTGTAGCATGGTGGGTTGCTGAGTGCAGACAAGAAGGCATACATGAGGCTATATTGTGAAGGTAAAAACAATAAATTTTGGCAACAAATTGGATATATGTGGTGAGTAAGAGTGAGAAGATGAGTATGACATCAAAATTGCAAGCATGGCCAACTAGGAAGATGGTGGTGTCTTCAACAATGATATGAAAGTTTGGAAGAGGGGAAGGTTTGGTGCATGGGTGGGGAACCTGTGGCCTCAATGCCACCTGTGGCCCCCTAGGTCCTTAAGTGCAGTCCTCTGAATCCAAACTTCACAGAAGGAATCCTTTGGGGGATTCCCTACACCTTGTTTAGGGGAAAAGATAAGGAGTTTTGTTTTGGACGGGCTAATTTTAAAATATCTACAGGATATCAAGTGATAGATATACAAAAGACAATTGTTGATGCATGACAGGCTTAGAAGAGACTCTAGGGATGGATACAGAGATTGAGAATCATCTAAACAGAGATGATAATTTAACCCATGGAAGATGATGACATGACCAAATGAAAAAGTATCAAGGGAAAAGAGAAGAGGGCCTAGGAGAGAGCCAATGGCCTAGAGTTACTTGGCATAGAATGAATGAAGAACTATCTAAGGAGCGAAAGAAGGAGCAGTTGGACAGATAGGAGAACTAGGAGAGAGTAAAGTCATGAAAACCATGAGGGCTTAAAGTGTCCCAGATGAGAAAATGATCAATGGTATCAAATGCTGTAGAGAGATTAAGAAAGATGAAGACTGAGAAAAGGCCATTAGATTTAGCTATTAAGAGATCACTGGTACCTTTGGAAAGGGCAATTTCAGTTGAATGATAAGTCTAGAAGTTAGACTGTGGAAGTTTTAGAAGAGAATAAGAGGAGAGGAAGTGGAGACATTAAGTGTAGACAGCTGTCTCAAGGAGTTTAGCCATGAAGGAGAGGAGAGATATAAGATGAGAGCTAGCAGAAATGATAGTTATCAAGTAAGGGTTTTGAAATTAATTCCTAAAATCTTGGCTACTATCTATCACAGGGGAATGTCACTTAGATATCTACTTCAAAACAAATGTTGTCCTGTAGATGAAATTACTTAATTTGTAATGGTCTCTGAGATTTCCTAATCATGTTTCTATCATCTCAGTGATTACTTTAAGTGTATTTGTATATCTAGAACAAATGAAGTTGCCCTTCTGAAGGCCATTTTTTCCCTACTTTAAAAAGAACAAAACCAACAAAATATTAACACATGTTATTGAGATATTTTTAAAATTACCTAATCTTAAGTTTTTACATGTGATAGCTTCACACTTTAGGTTAGAAGACATTCCAATTTCATAGTCACTCAAATGTTAGCTTCTGTAGACAACTCATATTATCTATTATAGAATATGTGTTTGGAACAAATAATCTGAAATGTTCCAAAATTCTTTATTTCTCCAAGTCAGTCCACTAGTTTTCAGTGTCAATTAAGGTGCCTAATTTTAATTAGTTTAAGCAAATAAAAAAACACTTCTTCTCTAGGAATTTTTAAACCGTTTTTCTTATTCTTGTCCCACTTAGACTACTGTATTCATCTAACAGTAATGAACTTATTCTCTACCTGCTGAGAGGCTGAAGCTGCTCTTTGTTCTGCCTGACTCAGGCGTCTTTGAAGTCTGTTGGTTTTTTCTTGATGTTCCATAATTATCTTTTCATTCTGTTTTAGGGAAATAATGTCATAGAAACATAGATTTTGTTAACACATTCCAACGTAAAATAGAGAAGCCTTAAAGCAGTCTGAGTTTCAGTGATGCTGAATTTGGACACTTCTATTTGCAAAAAAGCAAAAAAACAACACAATGTAGTTTTCATACATTAGGATCAGTTTTAAAGTAATATTCTAACTGCATAATTCTTTTTCTATACATAGCAACCTTCCAAGAAAGCAAGTTTTAATATTAAAAGCAAATTAGTAATAAGTGTAATCTGAAAGGTTGACAAATAAGAAAATTACTTCTAATTCTTATTTTGTTAACCTTGAATGCATGCTTTTAAATCCTTGTCAAAAACAAAGGGACTTCACCATAATTTATGTGCAACAGATAGAAGATATTTATTCTAGAAATCCTGACCGAAATATTCAGCATTTCCTTAAATGAATACTCATCAAACTAGGAATGAGAACAAGCCTCATGCCTTACAAGGTTATGTGGCAGCAGAGGGAGGTTTTAGTGTGTTCCTTCAACACTCTTTGCTAGGCAAAATGACTATATTTTAAGGCCAATTAAGTCATTTGGCAAAATAGTTTCAAATGACTCATGGAATACTATATTTTTGACCAGTTCAAAGAATCTATTGAGTTTTTTTACATTAATCCTTATATTTAGGAATGATATACCTGATGGTAGTAAGTGCTTGCCGCCTGAAGAAGCATTAATATAATGGACTATGGAGACAAATCATTCTAATAATTCTTCCTGGATCTGCTGGATTTTAAGTTTGGCCTAATGAGTCTATGCCAAGCTGCATTAATCCTGTATAGCATTTTTTGCCTTATATTCACATACTTTTTAAAAAAAATTAAATGTTGTTTTCCTAAATGAATCACCTGGATCTTATTTGGGTTGAGTAGAAGAACTAGATTTTATTCTTTAATTTTAGTTCCCAAAGAGAAGAGAATAAGGAAGGGATTAGACCCTATGCCTAAGGAATTTGGAGCTTGAATCAGCTCACTTCTATCAATTAAAAGAAATCAAGAAATTTGATGAAACAATAGCATAATTTACATCACTAGTAAGAGTGAATGTCATGTCTAATATATTAAATATTGATATGACAATGCTGTACACTTAAATAGAATCCATCCCTAAGCAACTTGAGCATTCGAGTTCTAAAAAGAACAGGTGTCCTAAATACACATTCACTAAATTTCCATTAGTACTTTCTGTAAGTTTTTCTGATTTACTTTGCTCCACAGTAAGAACATCAAAAGCAACACTAAAATACCCTAAAACATTTTATTTAGCTTCAATCATCATTCAGAAATTGCCTATTTAATTTTTGTACTATTCCGAAGGACTCTCAGATAAGCAAAAAATCCCATCCCAACTTCACATATTAAAAAAAACAAAGTACACTTTATTTAAAATTTTTGCAACCATGGACAAGTAGATTTTAATCACAAATTCTGTACTTTCAATGTTGTTATGGAATAAAACAAAATTTGGAAGAGTCATTAAAAAAATAATCTTAGGCATGCATAGGGAGGATTAAATGTTCCTTACAATGTTCTCTGAATCATGATAAACTGGAATGCTTAATTTTATCATTTATATTTCAAGAACAAATTTAAATTTTATAGCATATACATTCTAGCAAATGTAAATAAGATGGTGGACTTTTCCAATTCTGTTTTGTTCCCATAATGAGCATTTATATCTTTATGGGCATTTGCAAGCACATAATTCATTTGAACTTGGCTCAAGTAAAACTCTATAGCATGAATATTGAACTATAAAAGAAGTATCTCCCAGAAGAGTCATTATCTTACCTCAACTACCTTTTCATTTGCTGTTTCCAGCTGAGAAAGCAATTCTTGGGTATGAAGTTTCTGTCGATTCAGCTCACTTCTATCAATCAAAAGAAATAAAGAAATTTGATTAATATAATCATTCAATACATAAAGAAATTGAGCATTATACTAAGTCACTGGTAGGTAAAAACTGATTGCTCATCACAAGAAGTTCTTTATGACACTAAATTAAAAGAGATGCTCTCATTTTATAATGGTATACACACACACACAAACATACACATGATATGTTTGTGTTAAAAGCCATAATTGTTTTGTCAGTATTTTTCTCCTAGGAGATTATTAGTATTCCTTTTCATCATTATGTTTCAATTATATGTGCTTTTTAAATGCTTCATTAGACTACATGTTTGTTAGGGACAGAAATCATATCCTTTATTTATTTTGAAGGTTAGATTAGAATTTGATTATACTATCCTTTAGCAGCTGTGCAGCCCTTTGGCTGAATCCAAACTTCACAGAACAAATCCTTTTATTAAGGGGGTTTGTTCTGTGAAGTTTGGATTCAGTCAAAGAGCCACACTTGAGGATCTAAAGGGCCACATGTGGCCTTAAGGCTGCAGGTTCCCCACCCCTGCTTTAGCCCAAAGCAGACATTCAGAGCACATAAAATCTCTATCTGTAGATCTATATGTATGTCTCTATCTATCTACCTATACACACACACATCCTCATATATATATACACACACATATTAATGGAATCGTTAGAATAACCTTTAAACATCAAAAAATGGCAAAAACTCAAGTTTATAAGTTTGTACTATTAAAATAGGTACCACATCAAAATTGTTCCTGTAAAAGGTATCTTCAGACCAATATATCACATCATTTTAACTATAATGGCAAGTTACTTACTGCCTGGCAGAGACATATATGTAACTTTAAATGTCTATTTATACTAGCTTAAAAAAAAGCAAAAATTATTTGACTTATCTTAAATTGAAGTAAAGGCTTATTTTACAAACTACTTAGAAAAATTTATATCTAAAGTGTTCAGCTAGTCAGGAAAAGTATTTTGACTGATGATCACACTGACCAGTACTATGGCACTTACAACTTTGGCTGTTACTCTTTTATAGTTTGACATAACAAGATGAATGAACATAGTTTGGAAAAGTTCATGGAATTTAGAAGTTAAGAAACCATAAGAGATCATCTAGTCTTGTATCTTCAGTTTTAAAGATAAGGAAACTGATGCCTAGAGAAGTTAAATGACTTGCCCAAAGTCACAAACGTAGTAATTATTTAAGCCAACTGTGAACCCATGTTTGATGACTTGAGATTGAGTGCTTTTTTAGTGTTCATTTGATGCAACCTGCAACTGTTCTATCAACATAATGAAGGATATAGATTTTATGAGAAGCAACTGGAGGAAAGGCTGTTTACCCAGATAACTTTTTAATTATGGCATTACAGATGAAATGGAATTAGGTCCAAGAGATGACCTTGCATCATTCTTTGGTCAACAGAAATCACCTTTAGGGGCAGCTAGGTGGCACAGTGGATAGAGTACCAGCCCTGGACTCAGGAAGGCCCATTCAAATCTGGCCTCAGACACTTGATGCTTACTAGCTATAGGACCCTGGGCAAGTCACTTAACCCCATTTCCTAGCCAAAAAACAAACAAACAAACAAAATTTAAAAAAAAAGAAATAACCTTGCTGGGAAACCAGAAAATTTACTCTAATGTTGGCAATGCTACAAAGCTGTTGGAATGTAAAAGTGAGATGACAGTATTTCTTTCTTCAATGGATCTCTGAATTCGTTGGTATCAAAACTCTACTGGTATAGATGACAACCCAATACCTTTCCATTTTGTATAATTCCTATTTATACCCTTCCTTAAATTCTCCACAGAAAATTTGTTCAGTATGTTTAAAGTCTTCCTTTATGGTCTTTTATTGTTTTGTGGATACCATTGCAATGCTGGGACAGCCTATCTGTTAACTCTCACCCTTACAATATGACTGGCCTACCTCCTTTACCGTCACACATGTCCTTGCTAATATTTTTTTACTTTTTAAAAAAAATATAATTTTTTAAAAATTAAGAAAAATGTATTTTATTTCCCTCTCACCTCCCCCATACCTATTGGGAAAAAAAAAAGAAAATAAAAACCCTTATAACAGATACATATTGGTGAGCAAAACAAATACCTTTGGTGGTTCTATTTAGAAATACATGCCTCCTTCTGTGCTTTAAGTCCATAATTTCTCTGTCAGAAAGTGGCTAGTGGGGCAGCTAGGTGGCACAGTGGATATAGCATGGGTCCTGCAGTCAAGAGGACCTGAGTTCAAATGTGACCTTAGACACTTACTAGCTGTGTGAACCTGGACAGGTAGGTCACTTAACCCCAACTGCCTCAAAAAAAAAAAGTGACTAGAATAAATCTCTTTGGTCATCTGGGATTGTGGTTGGTCATTGTGTTGATCAGAATTTTTATGTCTTTCAAAGTTGATTTTTTTAAAGTGTTATTTTTACACACAAATTGTTCTCCTGGTTCAGTTCACTTTATTCTCCTTTATAAAAGCCTTCTCAGGTTTCTCTGACACTATAACCTTCATGATTTCCTATGGCACAACATTCTATTATATTCACATATCATAATTTGTTTAGCCATGCCCCAAATGATAAGCACCCCTTCAGTTTCTAGTTCTTTGCCACTACAAGAAGAACTATAATTATAAAGATTTGTAAATATTTTTGTACATATGAGTCCCTTTCCTCTTTCTCTGATCTCTTGGGGTATGGGCCTACTCAGGGTATTGCTGGTTCAAAGGTATGCACAGTTTAGTTGCTTTCCAGAGTGGCTGAACCAATTCAAAGCTAGACCAACTGTGTTAGTATTCTCATCTTCTCAAAGCTCCTCTAAGAATTATCATTTTTATTTTTTATTATTTTTACCAATATGATAGGTGTGAGGTGGAACCTGAGTTGCTTTAAATTGCTTTTCTCTGATTATTAGTGATTTGGTGCATTTTCATTTGGTTGTTAATAGCTCAGGTTTCTTCCTCTGGAAATTGCCTTTTCATACGTTTTGACCATTTATCAATTGGAAAATGGCTCTTATTCTCATAGATCTGAATCAGTTTCTTATATATCTCAGAAATGAGGCCATTATCAGAAATCTACTGCAAAGGGTTTTTTTTCAGGTTAAGTGATATCACCCTTTACATCTAAGTTATATGACAACAACAATAACAATATCACCTATATGGTGCTTTAAAGTTTATAAAGCCCTTAAGGATATTATCTCATTAGATATTCACAAAACCTCTGGGAGGTAGATGCTATTATTATTATTCCCATTTTACAGATGAGGAAACTATGGCAGGTAGAAGTTAAATGACTTGCCCCAGGGTTACACTAAGGCAGGATTCGAAATCAGGTCTTACTATGAGTACAACACTCTTTTCATTGTACCACCTATTTGTTTAGTTAGATGCATCAATTTTGAGCTTATTTTATTTTATGGGGGTGTCAAATGTGTCAAACTGCTTTCTAGTTTTCCCAGCAGATTCTTTCTGAGTAGTGCATTTTTATCTCAGTAGTGGGGGTCTTTGGATTTATCAACACTAGGCTACTGTATTCATTTGCTTCTGTATGTTGTTTATCTAATCTAGTCTAACAATTGACATCTATTTTTTAATCAGTACTAAGTCATTTTGATTATTTACTTTGTAGTATAGCTGGAGATTTGGTACTGCTAATTCTTTTCTTTTTCACTTTTTTTTAATTTCCCCTAAGGTTTTTTGACCTTTTGTTTCTCTAGATTAATTTCATTTTTTTTCTAACTTCACAAGAGAATATGTTAGTTTGACTGATATGGTAATGAAAAAGTGAATTGATTGAGGTAGCAATGTTATTTTTATTATATTGGCATGGCTTACCCTTGAGCATTTATCTAACATTTGTCTAATAATCTGGGTCTATTTTTATTACTATATGGAATGTTTAGGGGAGAAAATTAAACTAAAAATAAATTAACTTAAAAAAAGGAAATGATTGGGGCGGGGGGTAGGAAAAAAAAACTGGGAAGACTTAGATGAATTAATGCAAAGTTAAGTGAGCAAAACCAGGAGGTCATGTATTGCCTGTGAAAGACTTAAATCCTCTGATCAACAAAATGATTCAAGACAGTTCAGAAGGGGTAATAAAAATTGCTATCTACTCCCACAGATAGAACTGATGAAATCTGAGTGAAAATTGAAGTATAATTTCTCACTTTAATTATGTCTTACTTTTTTTTGTGTGTGTGACATTGTTAATATGCAAATGTATTTTTGCATGACTTCACATGTTTAATGGATATTGCTTGCCTTCTAATTTTGTTTGAGTGGGGCTGGAGGGAGGGAGACATTTAGGAACTCAAAATGTTAAAAAAAATTAAAAATAAACAATATTTCAAAGTAAAAAAAAAAGAATATTTAGTAGTTGCACTAACATAGCTTTTATGTGTATGTATCTGTAGATTGACTCCCAAGTATTTGTTGTTTTCCCCATTCAACTGTGAGCTCCCTGAGGGCAGGGAATGTTTTTTGTCTCTTCTGGTATCCCCAGTGCTTGGCACAGTGCCTGGCACATAGTAAGCACTTAATAAGTATTTACTTATTGAAATGATTACATATTCTATAGTTGTTATTTTTTCTGTAGTTATTTTGAATGGAAGTTCTCTTGCTATTTCTTCCTGTTGGGTTTTGTTTATCTTACAAAGAAATGCTGATAATTTGTGTGGATTTATTTTATATCCTGTAAGGTTGCTTAAAATAAGAGTTTCAATAAAATTTTAGTTGACTCTGTAGGATGTACTAAGTAAAACATATATTCAAAAAAGGATTTTTTCCCCTCTTTGCCTATACTTCCCCTCCCCCCTATTCTTTTCTTATTGCTATACTTAACATTTCTAGTACTGTATCAAGCAATAGTGGTAATAATAGATATCATATCCTTGCTTTACCCTTGATCTTATTGGAAAGGTCTTTAGTTCATTCTTATATCATATAATGCTGGCTCTCAGTACACACACACACACACA